GTGGGTATTGCCTTCTTCCTTCTAGTGGGTGGTAAGAAATGAGCCAGAGAGAACACAGTGGGAGCTGCTCCATGCTTTCTAGTCCCAGGACCTGGCGTTCACTTGCTCTGGGCTTCACTTCTTAGTCTCTGAAACATGCCCTAGCACTTGGGATGCTGAGGCAGGAGGATAGTCAGAAGTTTGATGCCAGCCTGGGCTATAGAATGAGATCTTGTCTCAAAACAATGTATATAAAATGGTTCAGAAAGGCTGGGCGTTCAGCTCAGTGGTAGAGTGCTTGCCTAGCACGTGCAAGGAAGGCCCTGGGTTTGATCTGCAGCACCCTAAACTAACAATCACCCAACCCACTGTAACTGTAGAGCATAAGGTAGCAAGGAAAATTAGATATAAAGTGGTTACTTCAGGGCCAGACAGACAACTCAGCATTGCCAGGCTGCTGGTTTTCTGCTGAAGTCCTGCTAGAGCCTTTTCTGGGCGCCAAGGAGTGAGCCTGGCTGTCAAAACAATTGTTCTGAAAGGAAGGTTCCTCTCCATGGCTACCCATGTCCCTGAGGTTTCTGCTAGGTTCCCTTAATAGAAAAGCCTGGGCTTTCCCAGGGACATTTCTAGGGATAGCGGTTGGATAGATTGGAGTGGAATCTTTCTAAGGAGGGCACTGGCCTGCCTTAATTTCACAATTTCCTCTGCACAGGCTGCAATTGAATACAGTCTTCCATGCAGATGTGAGTCTGTTCCCATCTTAGAATTGTCTCAGAGGGCAGCAAAAGCCAATTGCTGCCAGGCCAAGTCTTCATCACTCTGCATCCTGTTCTCACCAAACAGAGCATTTTATATTTAAGTTCATGTTCCCAAGCTCCTTCATGTTGTCCCCTGTGGGTGAGGCACTGCACGGTCTCTGCATGGATTTTCTGTTGCATTAGGGTTTGGGTACAATGGGGATGAGCTACATTTGAAATGGGAGTGTCCACACTAAAGGGTGAGTTTGAATTTTGTCTACATTGAAACACAGTCCATGTCTGTAAAAGTTAGTTGTCAGTCAATCTTTTGACACTTAATCTCCAATGAGGTATTTTCAGAACATTCAAAACTGACTCTGCACTGTATACCTGATTTTCCCCCCTCTGTTCTCTCTCTGTCTGTGTGTATGTATATGTGCTCCTGTGTGGTGTGTGTGTATGTGTGTGCACAAGTGTGCGGAGTCAAAGGTCGATGTCATCTGTATTCCTTAATCACTCTCCACCTTTTTAAAAAACTGGTTTTTGGGGGTGAGTGTGCCTTTGAATATGAGTGCACAGGACACAGAGCACTGTGGAGGTCAGAGGACAGCTTTTCAGGAGTTGCTTCTCTTCCTCCACCTGATTTTGAGGCAGGGTCTCTGTGTCTGTTGCTATACTGCATACTCCATGGTCTTCAGGCTTCTGGATAATTCTGTCTCCACTTCCCATCCTTTTGTAGAAGTGCTGAGATTACAGATGTGTGCTACCACATCTGGATCTTTACACAGGTTTGAGGACTGAAGTCGGGCCATCAGGCTGTGGGGCCATCTCCCTGACCCTTCTCCTTATTTTTATTTTGAATTAACTCATGTTTTTTGAGACAGGGTCTCTCACTAAACCTGGAGCTTACCAATTCAGGTTGAGTGGCGAACTGACAAGCCCCAGGGGTCCCCTGCCTCCACCTTCCTAGCACTAGGATTGCAGGTACGTGTTTGGCTTTCTACACGGAGCTGGGAACCTGCACTCAGAGTCTCATGCTTGTGCAAGAAGCCTTTACAGATGGAGTTGTTTCCTAGCCCCTTTCTGTTCTCTCTCACAGTACAGGAGATCAGGATGAACTGGGAACCCAGGATCTGTTTGCTGGGTGCCTAGAGCCCGACAGTCCCTTTACTTGATTGACCCAAGACCATGAGTGAAGAGAAAGAGAACTCGTTCAGGATACTCAGGATTTATGATGAAACAGAAGAGATAAAGAAGATGCCAGAAAGCTCTGGTGTTTTTTCTCTTCATGGGCAACAAGAACAACACCAAATGGACAGTGTGCAGGGTATTCCCCAGCTGCCCCCATGTCCCTCAGTACAGCATGGCCCTGTTTATCAGGAAATGCACAGTATGACCCAGCCACGGTGGGATCCCCAGGCCCAGGACACATCCGGGCTCCAGCCCATGTGGTTTTCAGAGGCAGAACCAGAAAGAGGAACCAGCTCAAGGTAAGGCTGTCATGAGCGAGGCTTGCCAGGGTGACGCACTATCCTGGGTGGAGGGGCCCTGACACAAAGTTCTGCACTGCATGCCACCTCCTCCTTTCTTCTCTGTCACAGCTTTCAACCAGGAGCCATGGCTGGTAAGTGTAGGCTGTGACAGTGTGGTCAGGGAGGTGGAGTGGCCCAAGCTGGAGTCCAGATGGTGGATGAGGTGCTTGGTTTGGTGAAAGAGGGAGATTCTCCTTCTGACCTTGTGACTGTTGCTGTGATACCTGGTCCATGAGAGGTGGGTGTGGCTGTCTCCCTGCAGGCCAGTTCTGTTCTTCGTCCTTGCTCAATGAAGAAGTCTGGTCATTCCTCAAAGCCATTGTAAGTACCTTAGTATTATGTTTTTGACATCCAGGTGTCATCCTTCCTTCCCTCCCACCTTCCACTGGAGAAGTGGTGTTTTTGCATGGCCCTATTCCCTTTCTCCTAGGAAGTGGTGGCTGGGATACCACCTTCTTAATGAGACTGTTCTCCTTGTTCTGCCAATTTGGTAAATAGGGCCTTTGGCCCACAGTGTCACTTCTACAAGAGATGTGACTTGGGGACCCCTGAACCAAGCTCTGTTATGAGAAAGAAGCTTAGAAATTTGGGGAGTAGGGACAGAGCAGGCCACCGCCTTGGTTGATTAGTCCTGTTGTCTCCCCAGCCTCCGATTCCAGACGAGGCAGTAGTCACACAGAAGTCCCCACGTAGTACCTGGAGGGTTGGCACTCTCCGCCATGGGAAGCGAGTGAATGCTGTTGCCATTAGCAGTGCCCCACGGCATGTGTACACATGTGGCACTGGCTACATCAGAGTGTGGGATGAAGATGCGTTGCATGCCTCAGATAGAGCACCTCAGGCCCAGCTGGACTTTCAGGTGAGGGGCTCTCAATCAGGTTTAGGGAGGTCAGACAGAATCTCTACCTTCAGCACTGCAAAGTGTATTGACGGTATGTGCTCTTCCCCAGGACCCGAGGAATCGTGTCCTTACCTGCAAGCTGTTCCCTGATGAGCAGAGCCTGATCACAGGGGGAATGGCCCGGGCTCTGACTCTTTGGGACCTGGCTCCCACCCCCCAAATCAGGGCCCAGATGGCCTCCACAGGTCCTATGTGCTATTCCTTGGCCCTCTCTTCCGATGCCCACATCTGCTTGGCTTCTTTCAAAGGATTTGTGGAGATTTGGGATGTGCAGAACCAAATCTTGATCAGGTAGGACCTTTCTCCAGAGCCACTCGGGTGTTCCTTGGGAAGGGCTTGAGAATGAGACCCCACTTTTCCTTCTTGGCAGTAGGGCTATGCCAAACAGCCTGGAAGGTACATCTAGGGACTTCCCAACCCTGGACTTCCCAACCCTGCACTTCCCAACTAGCACTGTACTTCTAACCCTTCCACATTCTGGCCCAAGGTAAGGGGCAGACCTTTCTAAAGACCTGTGAGTCATTTTCCCACCAGGAAACACGAGGTTCCTCTCTATGGGTCGCGCTGCGTGGACATCACAGGCTTTAAGTTCTGGACAGGTGGTGAAGACACCACACTGTATTCTTGGGACATGAGGAGCTACCAGAAACTGCAACAACACAACTTATGCCATGAGGTGCCTGCTTGGTTGCCCTCAGGACCAAATTCAACTCTGGGGTGGGGGCTTTGATGTGGGGAGGAGGTGCTGAGTGTGAATTTGAGGTCAGGGCTTGAACAAGGGTACTGGCAATTTTGAATGCTGACCCAAACTTCCCACAGATCCTCAGCATTACCCACGACCCCAGTGAGGAATGGGTGCTAGCAGGCTTGAAAATGAGTGACATTGTCATCCTACATGCTCACCGGGAGGAGAAGTACAAAGCTGTTGTCCAAAGATACACGCAACACCACAACCTCAAGTTCGCCTCTTGTGGTGAGTTAGAAGCCAGGTGACCCCATGGGTTCCTACCTTCTTTCTCCCCACCCCTTTCCTTATGCTCCCCTCTATCACAAAGGCTTCCCAGGTAGAATGAAGCCTGAAGGTACAGGTAGGCAGAGGTGGCAGGAGTCCCATCTCGTGGACTTCTTGTTCAGTAATCACTCACCATGTCCTGAGTGTGGTTCTGGTGACAGCAGATGAAGGGATGGCTTGGGCCATGCATCTGATTTTGATAAAGCAGGAAACTGAGGCAGAGAAGACAGTTGCTCTTTTCTTACTTGTCCTCTACTTGAGGACAGTTGGATAGAGAACATAGGCTCAGTTTCTGACTTTTCAACCTGTTCTTCTCTTTGCCAGGGACCCATTTTGTGGCCACACTGGATGGTATGATCCATTGTTTAGCGGCACCTTCTTTACGAAGGTTGTTCCAGGTATGGAGGTGGGAAGTGGGGGTGGGTGTACAGACTGAAACACTCGGAGCTTGTGGCCCCAGATTCCCTATTTGATGGGTCCCAGAGAGAACAGGGAAATACCACAGAGATGGCATTTTATAGTGGTAGGGACTGAGGACTTACCCTGTAAACCCATGGTCTTCACTTTGAGCTTTGTCCGTGACTCAGTGAGGCCTTTCGTTTACATAAACCTTGAAACATGAAGTCCTCATGTCTGTGGCTCAATCCCAAACCCTTCATGTTCTTCACAACTCTTTTCTAGACAGAGGAGTGTTATGAGATTCTATGCTGTGACATGTCCGCTGATAGTCAGTATCTGGTCACGGGTTCCAAGGAAAGTGCCACAGTGTACCAGCTCTTGTACTGAAGGCTGTGGACTATGGTTTGCCAGTGAAGAACCAAAGAGATCAGACCATGTGACCTCACAGTACTGGACATCTCCAATACCTGCCTCCCTTTGCTTCAGCCTTTATGGTTAGCTGGCTGTAATCCCAGGCTTTGAGTATATGGCTTGGGGCCTTTTCCGTTTTTTATGTTTTGTTTTTTTTAAATCCCCACTCATTGATATCTGTGTTTAGCAGTAACTTTATGAGATATGACTTTGCAATTAATAAAAATAGAGGAAAAAACCCAGAATAACCTGTTTGTGTGTTTCAGATAACAAAGTTATAGTACTGGATCATTTCTGTCCATGTTTAGCAAGTGGGGGCCATTCATTGTTCCAGGGTGGGTGTGTTAGTCACTTTGCCATTAGTGTGATGGAATACTCTAACAAAAAGCAACTTAGTGGAGAAAGGGGTTATTTTTGGATTACAGTTCTACAGGGAAAGAGTCTCTCATGACAAGGAAGGCATGGCGGCAGGAGCATGGGGTCAGACAGACAGATGGAGAGAGACAGGGAAGGGAGCCCAGTGGCATCCTTCCTCCCCACTGTACCTCCTAAAGGTTCCATAACCTCCCAAATGGCACCATTAACTAAGTGTTCAAACACAAGAATCCATGAGACACATTTTTCATTCACACACCACAGAGTGAAAAGAATTTTAGGTCAGATTTAGTTTTATTTGTTACTTTGGAGGTGAGGGCAGTAGCCATGAACTTTTTGAAATCTTAAGAAATGTGAGAGGAAGTGTATGCTGTAGCCCTTTGTATCCATGGGTTTTGCATCTGCGATTCAGCCAATCATGAGTTGCAAGTATTTAAAAGAAGTTGATTTTTGCACTGAAAATGTGCTTTTTGTTTCCTAAACAATACATTATAACATTTATTTATATGGTACTCCCATCACAACAGGTACTATAATGATCTAAAGGTGACTAATGCATAGAAAGCTATGCACTGGCTGTATGAAATGATATGCAACTTTGTAAGGGACTTTGGTATCCACTGAAGGTTGTGGAGCCAAGCATGGTGATTCCTCATATACAAACGTGAGACTGTGTTTGGCAGGAAGCTGGTCTGACCATGTCCTAAGGCTTGGATCTTGGCAGTGTGTAACCCCATGGGGGTGCTGAAGAGTATGATTTGAATGAGGTATAATCCCCAGAGTCTTGGGCATTTGAACACCTGGTCTCCAGTTGGTGGTGTTGTCTGGGGAGGACTAGGTTAGTGCAGCCTTGCTGGAGGAAGTGCATCTCTAGGGATGGGCTTTGAGATTTACAATATCCCCTACTTCCAGTTTACTCTCTCTGCTCTGTGCTTGTGGATGAGGATGGGAGCTCTTCCCTTCCTATTCCTGCAGCCACACCTGCAGCTTGTTGCCACGCCTCCCTACCGTGATTGACTTGTGTCCTTCTGGAACTGTGAGCCCAAGCAAACCCTTCCTTCTGCAAGTTGCTTGTTTTATCACAGCAATAAAGTAACTGATACATAAAGGTGATGTCATCTAGCTCTGTCCAAGGCCTATTCATAATTGTGGCAGCTGGTACCAGTCAAACTTGCCTATCTCATTGTTTCAGGAGGGCTTGCTTGTGTTAGCATATGACCAGCACAACATTTTACCTGGCCTTCTCCAGGCTGGAAAAGCCACCTACACATGCATGGCTGTCCTCCTCCATTTGCTGTTTCTTTGCTTGGCATTGGTATGGCAGAGGCAATTATACCCACTGATGCTTGGGGCTTAGAGTTGCCACCTAGAGGATCATGAATCATATGTGCTCCATCTGAGCCAGGCCTAAAGAAGTAGAGGGAAGTAGAGTAGAAGTCTCCTGCAGGGACTCTTTCCCCTTCTATCAGCTCAAGGCAAAAGAGGCAGAGATCCCAGGCATCACTAAGACATGAGATGGTGGCACCCTGTGCTCATGCATCCAGCAAGGAGAGAAGCTGCCTAGCCATATGTGGGGTTTGAATGAAGACGGCCCCCGCAGGCTCATAGGAGGTGTGGCCTTGCTGAAGGAAATGTGTCACTGGGGGTAGGCTTTGAGGTTTCAAATGCTCAAGCCAAGCCCAGGGTCTCTCTCTTCCTGCTGCCTACAGATCTAGATGTAGAATTCTCAAGCTTATTTTCTAGCATTATGTCTTGCCTGCCTGTTACCATGCTTCCCACCATGATGATAATGGACTAAACCTCTGAAACTGTAAGCCAGACTTATTAAATATTGCTGTGGTTGTGGTGTCTCTTCATAGCAATAAAACCCCAAACTAAGATTCCACAAAAGAAAAATAAGCTTGTATTTTCACTTTATTAACGTAGAAGTCTATTTGTTACTATAGCTCTGAAAAGAGAATATATGTACTTAAAAGGCCTGGTAGTGAATATTTTAGATTTTGTTATAATTTGATGTTACAGCTACTCAGTTCTGCTGCTGTGGCATGCAAACAGCCATAGATAAACAAATGAGTGTGAATTTTATCAATGAAACTTTATAGAAAACAACAAACAGTGGAACCAATTGGTCTTCTGGGTATAGTTTGTCAACCCCTCTCAATATGCCTTAACATAAGCAATTAAAATCCATTAAAAATTATAGAGAGTTATTGAGCATGGTGGTACCTGCCTTTAATCCCAGCACTTGGAAGGCAGAGGCAGGCAGATCTCTTGAGTTGGAGACCAGCTTGATCTACAGAGTAATATATGAGAGAGTATATATATATATATATATAGAAGAGAGAGAGAGAGAGCGAGAGAGAGAGAGAGCGAGAGAGAGAGAGAGCGAGAGAGAGAGAGAGCGAGAGAGAGAGAGAGCGAGAGAGAGAGAGAGAGAGAGAGAGAGAGAGAGAGAGAGAGAAGAGGTTACCCAGTGAAGCTATTCAGTGGGGCTATAGGATTATATAGGCTTTAAAATTAATTTGTTTATCAAGGATGAATGAAGTAAGCCCAGTGTGCCATAATCACACAGGAACACACTATGCCCCATTAAAATGGAAGAGAATTTTGACACATGCCACAGTCTGGATTAATTTCAAGACAGCCACAAAAGTACTACACAGTTTCATTCATGAGGTACTAGTTGATTCATAGCAACAGGAACTAGAATGGTCATCACCTGGGGCCCAGGGAAGGGGTATAAGGGGGTTACTGTTTAATGGATACAAATGTTTGAGGGTTTTGTTTATTTTGAGACAGGGTGTTATGTAGCCCAGGCTGGCCTTGAACTCACCAAGACAGTGACTAACATTTTGAAAATGGATAAACTGTATTACAAAGTGGCCACACCATCTTGCAATCCCATCAGCAAAGAATGCAGATTCCATTTTCTCCACATCCTCTCAGAAACTTTGTTACTATGCCTTGTAGCTGTTTGTTTGGGTTCACAGTTTCAGACCATACTCAGCTGGCTCCATTGTTCCATTCCTAGGCAGGAGATGAAGTAGCATCATATGGAAAGGGCATAAGAGAGCAGAGCTGTTCACCTAATGGAATCTGGCAGTGAAACCCAGAAACAGTGTGTGAGGAGTGGGAACAAGGTGTACCCTTGCAGGTTACCCCACCCACCCCTCCCCTGCCCTGGCTACCCACTGCATCCACCCAGACCCCACTTCCTGTTTCTATTGATTTGCCTGTTTACATAGACACGCGCGCGTACACACACACACACACACACACACACACACACACACACGGACACACATGGGGACACACATAGACACACACACACACAGGGACACACACGGACACACACACACGTGCACACAGATACAGGCACACACCCTTTCAAGTAGAGCATGAACACTTAATCTGTCTCTGCTATGATGAGAGAACAAAAAATTGCTTATAAATGTCAATGCAAAGCATTGATAAAATATTATCATCATGTAAAATATGTAATAGCATATGGACTCTAATTCTGTATAAAGACAGTAAGATACCAAGACTAAATGGAATATTGTAGGAGGTGATGTTGGATCAATAATAAGAAATCTGCTAAGAATTTCAATATTAATAAATTGTTTCCACTAAACTTAGGTACCTGTTCATGACTTTAAAACATTAAAGAATGTAAGAATTGATTAGCATCTTCCTAATGAATATATGTGACATGTATAATCTATCTAGTTAGTCTTAAAGTTATTATTTTAGTAAGAGAAACACTATCGTCATAAGAAACATCTAGTATTATCAGGAACAAAATTAGCATGCTGTATTGACTACTTTTTATTGCTGTGATAAAACACTATGACTAGAAATGACTTACAGAAGAGAGAAGGGAGAGCCTGCAATATTTAAGAGACATGGCAGCTGGAGCAAGGAGCTGGGAGAACACATCTTTAAATGTAAACAAAGTAGAGAGGACAAACAAAGTGGGGGAATGCCCCGATCTGGGGGGAATCACTTGAGCTCACACCCCGATGTGCTGCAGTCACCAAAGAACCTAGAACAGAACGGTCAGGGGGAACAAAAACCAACAGCAAGACAGGTTTCTGATCAAGCTCCCAGTTTTTATTTTTCACAGGGACCTTATATAGGGGTGCCAAGCGGGGAGCTTGGCAGGAAGGGAGAGGTTGTTGTTGTTATTGCCTGATAACCAGGCTGAGGAATGTCCCAGTGCCTGAGTCCTTGAGGGTGCAGGAGGTTACCAAGGTCGCAGGGTGCAGGTATTAGTGGGTTAGAAAGGGGGTAGGGGTTGCTAGGTAACCTCACCATGAAGTGTATCTTTATTTTATAAGCTACTTCATGAGCCCAGATGTTATGTATCAGGGAGGGAAGTATTGAAGGTAGCTATTCTTTTAATTGTAATGGGTTATACTGGCAGCTTTTGCCCAATTCTCTTACAGGTCCAAGGTTACTTTTGCCATGGCCCCCAATAGGGGAGGGCTATAAACTCTCGTAGTTCAACCCCAGTGATGAACTTCTTCCAGCAAGGCTGTACCTCTTAAGGTTCCATAGCTGGTCCAAAGTGCCACTAACCAGGGGCCAAGTATTCAGAG